GCGCTTTGAGTGGAGTGTCCAGAAAGGTGCTATATAAGTGTAAGCAATTAATTAATTAAATTCTAAAAAAAATAATTCAATGAAAATATAGCTGGAATCCAGTTAGGACCACAACTACCTACGTTTGGACCATTACAGCCTGTTTTCAAATGGCTGCCTTACTGAATGGAATATTTCTGATAATTTCATTTCAGGGGTAAATTACTTTTTCCAGTGTTTTCAAAACTCAGAGAAAGAGGCACTTCTTTATACATAGGTTTGTGGAGGTATAGAACAAGGTTCTCAGCCATGCTGTTGAAGCTGATATCCTGGCTACTTTCAAGATACATCTAGATGAGATCTTGGGATTGATCACTTACTAACAAACAATCTGGACGGGCTAAATGATCTCCTCTCATGATTTCTCTCTGAAACAGATGCAGTTCACGGAGGCTGGGATGGAAAATCTAAAATTAACTACTATGTGTGTCGTGCACAAGCCGTTGATAAAGCATGGCATGGCGGGAAGCTTTTTTATTACGGACAGCAGAAAAAGTTTGTTTGTTCTTATGAATACGGAGGAAGGGAGATATTTGCTTCAGTGTATCAGGTAAGATCTGAGGCAATATGCAGAATTGAATGTTATCTGTGCTGTATAAACACTGTTGGATGAAAATGTGAAGGGCACAGTTGCAGCAATAGCATCACAGTGAATAGCGCCAATCTAGGCGAATGCAAAAATGTGGTATCAATGCTCAGACACATTCATTTTTGCTCTGTGTACTGTATATATGTGACAGTATATACAGTATACTGTTTGCACAATTGTGTGTTTGGGGATGTTTATATAATGCAACATCCATAAAATATTCACAACATCCTCTGTCCTTCAGGCTCTTCTGTATCCCTGTCCAGGAAATAAAGGTGTAGAATGGGCAGACGGAGTTCACAGAGAATCCATAATAACTGGAAAAGCAGCCCAGTGGAACGTAAACTACTATGTGTGCAGGTTTGTGGAAACAATTATAATGTCATTTACATATGAATTATCCTCTTAATCATTAATCATTTTAGAGATATTCTGGCAGAAGCCTATATGACTTTTTATTTCAAACAGTACTTATTGGTCAACAGAATGGTCATTCAGTGAAATGGAGTTCAACATGACCTCATTTCAAACTCTTAGATGTTCCCAGGAGTGCTTAAAGCTGCCTATATCTCCTTTATTTAAAGAATATAAAATAACAGCAACAGCGAAAAGGAGGTGGGAGAAGTAGTCTCGGAACACCATTAAATAAATACTTAATTATCAGTTCATGGAGATTTGCCAAATGTTTAGCTATCAAACATGTTAATACCTATTGTGAGAACTTTTGCAAAATGTACTGTATACAAGTCATCCACTAAACCTGAATAGAACCAGAAAAAGTGAAGATAAAAACTCAAGAAAAGAAAGATGTTGCTTTTGTGAACTCAATCGTTTTGAAGGCAGTGAAGTGAAAATACTGTACATTAATTAATGAACTGGTGGTGCCCAGAGATATTAGTCTCTATGGCCGTTAATCACAATTTATTCTTTCACTGTTGTTTTAAACTGTCTATATACTGTACCTCCCACTAAATGCCAGCCTAAACAGTTACTTTTCCCAGCTAAAAGAAATCTTCTTTTAACTGTAAACGTATAGCTTTATAATTATGAAATTCTGCTAAACAATATGTTAATTGTAATACAGAAACACTTAGCATTATAATTTGCATATAATTATAATTAGCCAGCCTCGCTAATATTTTAGGAATACTATTCCAAAGTTTGGGGGCGTTGTAGCAAAAGGCTGCCTCTCCAGTCCTATGCTTAATGTTGGAATAATCTTTAAAAGTCATGCGCTTGTTGCACTGGCCTTGATGGAATTAACAGTACGAACAGCTTCATCCATTACTGGTTTTGAGTTCAGGGGGCATGTTCTTATCCGCAAGAGCTTGTCTATGAATCATGCAATGCGTCCACAACGCGAACGGCCCGTACTTTCGTGACGAGCCCACTGTGAGAGCCAGTCATAGCTGGTGCACCGTCTGAGCAGATTCCCACACTCCTGTTCAGTCAGTTTCATGCTCACGTACAGAGTTGATCGCCAGCGGCACGCTCGGCAAGAGGACGACAGAACAAAAAATACTCGTTACTTTCTCCCACTTCAACCCATCTGGCGTAAACAAGCATTTGTGCATCTCCGGAGACATCAGTGTCAAACTGTAAAGAAAAATACACACTAGATTTTATCTTAGCGATCACCTGCTCTTTCACGTCTCTTGCCATACGCCCAATGCGGTTAGACACAGTATAATTTCACAGTGGTATCAGTGCTAGTTGCTCTGCAGCGCTTTTCCCACACATGACTGAAACCAGGTTTCCTTAGCGCACGGTAAGAAAAAAGTCTCACCTAACGTGTGTGGCTTCCCAGTTTTGGCCTCTTAGCTTCTGTAGTTTTCGTTAAAAAAAAACGAACAGGTTTATACTGCAAGGCTGAGTGTCCGGTCTGCAAGTGGTATAGCAGTTTGGAGGGCTTGAGGATTTACTTAGCTGACACTTCGCCACAAACCGCACATACTGTAGAGTTCGTGCATCGTCTCCATCACTTGTCTGTGTAAATTCATACTTTTTGTCGCATTTTCTCGTTTTCTTCTGTTTGGAGTTTTCTACTGTGCGTTTCTCCACATTGTCTTTAGCCCTCACTCTTCCAGCGTCACCTATTCAAAAATGCTCCATTGCGCAAAACAAAAAAGTGTTACAAATATAAATGCAATAGTGGCCCGCCCAATAGGCATTAATGTAGCGCCTTCGCCGGGCGCACCGCACAGCAGGCTGGGAGTTGTAGCTGGGGGATGGTCTGTGGGCTCGCAGAGTGACCACTAAGTCACTCTGCTAATGTAAACAGTCTGAACTATGCAGGTGTACAAAAATGTATTGTTTACCTCTGACGTGTAACCCCCCTGAATCTGCGTACGTGTCCCGTTTGCCGCCGTAGTGTGTGAAAACCGTGATGATTGTTTCTGCTGCCTACTGTTGATCTCTCCGGGACTGCGGGGGTCGCGGGTGCCAGGTTAAGAACCCCAGATCTACAGTAGTTACACATTAGTGTTGCTCAGAAGGGGGTGGATGCCTCTGAATGATTCATTTCAAATGCGAACCGCAGAATAATTCATAAACAAAGGTGCTTTTTTTCAGGGGGATCCTTAATGGGGTTTATCATCCTGGAAAACTTTTCAACACCCGACGTGGTTGGAGATGTCATATTGGCTTCCTTCTTTATGATCGCTTACTTTCCTCGTTTCAATCATTGAAACACCTGCCATGTGACTAATGTAGAACTGGAATGTGTTGATAGAATGCAACTTTTATTAAGATTCGATGCGTTCAGCATCCTGTATAAGAAATCATTCCTATTTTATTCTATTCTTCTAGCATTTTATAATTTTTAGATTTTTTTCCCTTGTTTTTAAATATGTATTCTCTGTAGGGTTGTATTCGTGTAGGGTTAACCACTGAAGCAAATACAGAAATATCAGATTACAGAATTCATCCAAAGAATGGCAACTAGTACATTTCTTGGGTCCAGTGGAATTTTCCGCACTAACTGATTGAAAAAATAAATCCTTTAAGTCTTGAAGAAAGAAAACAAGGGGTCCTGTTTTAAATGTTTGGAATCCTTAATGTACTGTATGAAGAATGAAACTTGAATTAGGAAACTTCAGTAAAAACTCAGTGGCAGGGCTTGTAAAAAATAAGATCATCTTACACAAGGGGGGGTGAGAATCTGAAAGAGGCAGCCCCACGCTCCTCTTGAAGCTACTGTCCTGGAATCCTTGATGAAAAGTATGGATAAAAGCTCTGGATTCATTAATTTCTAACAAACGTGCTAGATATTCTGATTTTCTTAACCAAACTTACCAAGTAATACCATGGGAATGCTTTCACATTGAAAACTGAACATCATTGTGGCAGCAAGTTTTGAAAATGTTTACAATTTAAATTGGCATTGCTAATACCATATGTCCAGGCACTTTAGGAAATGTTGTGGCCTCATTTCAACATTATACACATTTGTGATGGAATGATACATGATTGTAGTAACATATCTTTTTCAGACTGAATTGAAATGTATATCCTAGAATTTTGTTTGCCTTTTAATCGCTTCCTCACATTGTCTAGAAGATGTAATTAATGTGTAAACATTAACACGTCTTTTTCATCTGTAGCCTCTTCTAGCTCAGTGTTTTCTGTTTTTTACATATAGTTTGTTTTTGCTAACTTCTTGTAATATTTTCCTCTTGATTACATAAATAAAATTTGCATATGAAACTTTCTGAACTCAATTTGCTACTTTACAGTGTTTGCCAGTCCTCCTATTGTGGTATTGTCTGCAAACGGGACAAGGTTACTAACTGATACAGAACAGATCCTTGATATAAATTAGAGAGAGCAGCAGTCCAATTAGATCATTCGCCCCCTTATCTGTACTGCCAGTAATGTATTAATCGGTTCTAGATTCAAATACACACATTCCCCTAAATGATAACATTTATAATTTCACAGTTTTATATTTTATCAGCCCTCTTTCGGATGAGACGTTAAACCGAGGTCCTGACTCTCAGTGGCCATTAAAGATCCCTAGTTCTCCCCCTTGTTGGGGAGGGAGAGAAGAAACTCCATTGTCCCCGAATGTTATCAAAAATGATAGAAAAATGTATAACCACATAAATACTAAGAAACACAGCAGAGCCGCACACCCCCCAACCCCCTGAGCCATTACCTAGGTTCCTCTTGATTATCAGCATCTCATGTCATAAAGCAGATGAAGCCACACTAGTTACTGACTCGACTAATTCATTAATGTCTAAATCAATGAGGATTATGGCCTTGAACATCCTGTTTTCATTTAGATGCTCTTCTAATTTGGTCCTTGATATAAGTGAAATACTACTGCGATGTGTATGGTTATGTTTTGCCTCTCCTTTAATAGAAATGGATATTACATTTTTAAAGTAAACATACCGTACTCCGTTCCTTAAGGCTCTTTTGAATATCTTAATGAGTGGTTTTCAAACAACTGATGGAGTTCAGAATATAAATTCAGGAGGAAGGTTAAATCCTAATCTTATACACTTCTGATCTCCTATGCAACCAAGATATACTGTACAGTACAGTATATCGCCTACTGTACGAGATGTTTACTTATAAATCTCACACCCAGGACTTCCCTTGTATCTCTCTCACACTCCTCCCACAACCTGATGTGCACCCTTGCAGCAGCTCCCTAACTCATTCTTTGCAATAGTGATGGCTGCCATTCCCTAAGCTAGGTACTTTGTGCTAAATACCCTCTACACATTTCCTCCCTCTATCGCACTCATTAGGATCTAACCCAGCTATAGAAAACAGTGCTAATGGAAGGCCTATGGCTGGTGGATGACCCCGTCTCAGTAACCTTAGCATTATCCATTTCCTCCATTGCTTTAAACTATGTACTGTATTATATTCTCTATTTTCAAGTATTGACATGTACTGAAAGTTTGAGAGGCTTAGAGACAGGCTTGTGAGGGGGAGACAGGTCTGAGAGTGAGACTCCTCAGAGTGTGCTGGGAGATAGGTGTTGAAGAAGGGGGGCACTATCTTGGTTGCTAAGTTTGGAATTCTCTGTGCAAAGCACAGCTCATAGTGGAATTATGCTGGTCTCGTTGGTCCTGTTGCTTTCGGAAGTTTATTCTCATTTCACTCACAAGCCCCATGTCAAGTCACATGAACCTCATTGAATTTCTTTCACATGAACCTCCAGTAATTTGCATGTTACTATGCAAAACATGCATGAAATATAATCAAATATTAAAGCTCTGTCAATCCTACATAACTAAATAACCTTGCACATGTCCCTGAGAAGGTGTTTTTATAAAGCCACGTAATCCTTTATTTGGTTAAGAACACCCTTTACTCAACATACAGTGAGAGGGTGGTCTCCC